TTGGGTGTTGCTTACCAAGCATCCCTGCAGGATCTGAGCAGAGTTAATGTTACAACGTGGTTTATTCCTTTATTATGGGTTGGCAAGCTTTAACTTGGATTTGGTGAGAAGTCCAGTTCAGTCTGTGACCATGCAAATGCTGGCGGTGGTGCAAGGGCGGCAGCAGTGTGAGGTGGGATAAGCAGTGAGGTGCCTGCATGGGGTGAAATCCACTGCTTTGCCAGCAGTGCTTCAGCAATTGGTAGAACTGTGGTGTGACCACCTCTGTTGTGACCTTGATGTGATTTAGTTGGATGTTGGTTTGAGCCTGATGGCATAAACTTTCATCAGGCTTCCTTTTCTTCGTTGTATTTGGTTGTCTTGAATTAAGCATGGTTTGCCTACTGTGTTTGTAGAGGAGGGGAGAAGAAATTTCTGTAATCTTTTTTGGCCTGTACTGCATCACCATAGACTGTGAGGTAAATAGATTTTTTTTTTTTTGTCTTGCCTCAGCCAGCCTATTTTTCTTTTTTGCAGACATCTTTCTGTCTATTCAGTTAAATTTTTGCCTCTTTCTTCAATCCTGTTGAGTTGATGGCTTATGCCATCTCCTGGGTAAACATCTGTTGCTGTTCATTACTGTTACTGGGAACTGAGGCAAAACCTCATTCTGATTGACAGAAAGATCATTGTCTGGTGCTGGAATGTGCTTTCTGTGTTAGCTCTTTCCAATCTTTCATCCTTTGTGTATTAATAAAGTTCCTTAATTTCAGCTGTTGGTTTATGCCTACTCTACACATTTAGTTGTATGTAGCAGGACTTAATACTTCCTTTTTTTAAAGGTATTAATGTTTGATTTTATTTTCATGCTGGAATTGTTATTAAATTTCAGTGCTGACTGTTAGAATGTCCACAGCCAAGACATTGTAGAGGAAGAGTGCAGATATCTTTTCCAGTGAGAACTGAACTAGTGTTTTGGTGATGGAGATGGCCAGCTAGGAAGCTTGGTTACTGACCATAAGATTTTTGGCAATGCTATTTTTTCCATTTATTTTAAAGTTCAAATGAGGTGAGGAAGAAAAACACTTGTTTTGTGACTTAGATATGGATGTTCTTGTCTACATATTCTGGATTGTTGATTTTTTTTTTAATAACACATTAAAATGTTTACTGTCTTCTACTGCATATGGTTGTTGGGTGGTCCAAGTTACCTTTCCTTGAGAGCCCACAGTAACAGTCATCTGTTTCTTTGAAATACTGCATAAAGAAGAATATTAAGAAAATTATTGGTTTCAGAGTCTGATGTTTATCTCCTGTAAGGGTATATGTATATGTGCTAGCCTAGAGAGTGTTAAAATTGCTGGATCTTGGCTTTTGATGAGCAGACAACATGGAATGTGTAGGCCTTGAAGTTAGCCTTCAGGTTTTGATAATGTATGTGTGTTCGTCTGCTGTTGAGGGGGGTGTTGGTGCCCGCTTGAATATTGCAGAACGAAGTTGCTGCTACTTCAGTGGGTGGTATAAAGGGCTTATACATCCTTAACGACATTGGACTAATGTATTGGTCATTGTGGGATTATTTGCTTGCATCCTATATGATGGACAGGTACTGGGATGGAGAATGATGAATTAACATGCTTTCAAATGTAGGCCTGCATTTGGAGATAAAGGGTTAGTATGTAGTGGCTGTTTTCCTGGTCAAAGCTGAAAAGCATTTACCTATTTCAACTTCAGTACTCTTAATTATTTGGCATTTACTGTGTGTTTCTGTAATCTTTATGCAGTTTGATTATTTAACAATAGAAAAATAATTAATGTTACAATTGCTATGTTTTGTTGATAAATACAATTTTTTCCCAGTGACTTAAAACTCAGGTGGTACATTTTTAGTCATTACAGTTTCACTGTACCCAAAGTTTAAGTTGCTTTGAGGTAGCATTCTGATTACTGTTCATTCACTTGCAGAGGGAGACTCTGATAACTACATTGCTTATTACAGAAGAGCCACAGTGTACTTAGCCATGGGCAAATCTAAAGCAGCAATTCGGGATTTAAGTAAAGTGGTTGAATTAAAGCAGGACTTCACATCAGTAAGTATTACTGAAAATGAAAATTGTTCAAGCGTAAAAAAAACAACCCCACAACCCTGTTTTGAAGAAGGTTGTTTTTTCAGATTTTGCTAAACAGAAATAGAAAATACAGTATCACTCAGAAGGCTTTAAATAGGATAAATTAATAGTAGTGATGTATGTGCTTGAATTTGCAACTATGCTGAGTACAGTCTAGCCAGTTATTCTTACAATTAATAGTAGTTTTATTAGGTTCATGTTCCTCATGGAAAGTGTTTAGTACAAACCCTTCCCTCACTTATGCTTATTCTCCTCTCAGTAACCAAGGCTATGCCCTCTGAGAGCGAGGCAGGGGGAGGGGTGGGAAGAGAGTGCACAGATGCCTCTGTTTTTCTTCTGTCTTAATCAGCATTTGATTTGAGGCATCTCTTCTCCACAGGAACTGTCCTAATCTCACAACCTTCCTACAGCGTTGTTGCAAGTTCTGATTTACTCATGCCTTGCTCACTTCTGCTTGCCGTATGTGGAGACTGCCTCACTAGTTGGAGAGTGATGCTGGAGTCCTCTCCATCTGATTCTCTCATCTCCCTTTTCCATGGGCAGTAGCGTGTCCTGTATAGCTTACAGTGAAGGAGCAAACATTAAATTCATTGTTGTATGAGAATAATCTTATCATAAACCAAAATATTCTAAATCATTACTTTGTCTTTTTACATAGCTTCTATTACTCTGAAAGTTCAGTGAAAGCATTCAATGTGGGGGTTGTTTATTATTTATTATTTCTGCTAATTCCTTAAAAATCTTTAAGCAGTTATAGTCAGGAAAGTGGTATAAGGTAAACATTCACTTTGTTTTATATAAGTCTAGAGATGAGTTCTTTCCATGAGTTGTAGCTGCTCATAAAAGCTGTGGCTGTTTTTTGTCCCTCAGCTCTGGTGCAGAGCAATCCTTTATCGTTAAAGAGGCCTCATAAGAACATTGTCAAATTGAGAAGACAAAAAATGGATGTCGTGATCTCTGTTTAAGCTTGTTAGCTGTAGTAAAATGAAGCTTTTTTACTTCGCTGCTAAAGGAAACTGACGCTTATTTTCATACTTTGCTGAATTCCAATTTGTAAATCAAAAGAAACTATCTTACGTTTCATTTCAGGCAAGATTACAGAGAGGACACTTACTGCTCAAGCAAGGAAAATTTGATGAAGCAGAGGATGACTTTAAAAATGTGGTAAGTTGGAGGCCCAAGTTGAACTACATCACTGCTTTTAAGGTTGGGTTCTGAGCCAAGGTCTCATCTCAATTCTGATGCTCTAGAGTGTATGTCTATGTATACCTGAGTTTGTTTTTCCTGTTCTTTAAAGAGGTATTGTCGCTAAGCTACCTTGTATGAATAAATGACTGATAAAGTTGCAGTGCAGTGATGAAGATGAAATCAGAAGGTGCTGCATGAAGTAGCACAGCACTTGGAAAAGTCTCTTTTTTGTGTGTGTGTGTGTCTGATACTTGATGATCTCTGCTTAATGACACCTATACTAGGGAGCAGTCTTCATTCAGAAAGAAAGGATAAGTGACATGGAACTTACTTGTTGACCTGAATTGACCCTGCTTTACATCACTGTATTCAGGTCACCCTGGGAAATCACTAGGGGCCTTATGGATGAACCTTTGAAGGTGCCTATCTCTCTTCACTGATTATAGAAAGATCCTGGGCTCTTAATTTAGTCACTGGCCTGTTAAAATCAATGAACTTCAGTGGCATGCATCTGCAGAGGAGTTCTCCATCTTTCATGAATGTGTTGACAGTACTTTCTCTCCATGATCAGAAAGTGCCCAGTGTTTCCATACAGACACAGCTGGGTATTACCCACCTAAAACTCACTTGGGTTCTTTTTTCTTTCAATGGGTATTTTGTGCCTTTTGGCCTTTCGCTGCAAATATAAACTGACCTAACCGCAGAACAAAATTCCTCAGAGAATATGTGAAACTCTATTCCCTCTCTGTTACACAAAATTTCTGTAAGCATGAGAATAAATAAGATTAATCTTACTCTTACTCACTCTTCAAGAGTTGCTAGTTTGAACAGCTTGCATGTCCCTTATGCTAAAATAAATAGAATTTACAAGTGTAACTGATGCTGTCTTGTTGTCTTTCTTTTGAAGAGTGTGATGGAGAAAGCAGTCCTGCATTGCAGATTACAGATGTTTAATGGAAATCTTACTAGTGAGTATATATGACAAAACCAGAGCAGTTCTACTGTACGCTCTGCAGGGCAGTTGGGAGGAATGGCTCCTGCAGGTGTAAATGCACCAGGCAGTCTTTGTGTTTGTAATAAAGCTACAGTAGCTTATTCTGAAATTCATGTAGCGATGGCTCCTCTGGGTGCTGCTGCTGCTTCCTCAGTAAGTTTCTCAGGAGTGTGTGGTCCGCAGTGACACGTCTGACTGTAGTGCAGCCCTGCTGTTTGCAAATGTGGGAGTATGTCGTTCAGCTCTGATTAACTGAGGACATAGTTGCTGCAATAGCAATTATGTGATGTCAGTGTTGATTCTGAGTTTGTGTAGGCATCTCTTTGCAGTTACTGTTTCTTGGAGCATTGCTTAATACTGCATATGGCAATGTTTTTCCAGACAACTGTCAAGTAGCTTGCCTTTTTTCCAAAACAGCTGCAAAAATTTCGCTTGCTGCCTTCGGTCAGTCAAATAGTTTCAGTCTTCAGTCGAGTTTTAACTCTGAAGTAGAAGAGAGTTTCTTCTCAGAACTGACTTATGAAGATGCCGTATTGGTCCTAAATCTTACTTCCAGTTTCCTTGGTTCTATGAATAATATTGCCTATGTACTAAGAGAATATGCCAAGCAGTCTCTTTTGAAGAGCACAATTTTCAGTTAAGTACGGTATGTGAAAGCAAAATAAGCTAATATTAAAGTAATCCTTTGTGATAGGTTAATTTTTTTCATATGGGGGAGGGGATTAAGTTATCCTACATACCGTGTCTCTTTAAGTAGAATACATATATCCTTGAGAGATTTCACTTGTTTTCTTCTCAGATTGACTAACTGAAAGATTAAGTACTCTGTCAGTTCTCTGTGTGTCTAAAATACCTTGTTTACTCTGGCAGTATGTTTGCATCTAAATAGGAAATTGCATTTAATCTCAAGATGAGAGGAAGTCAGAGTCACAATACTGTGAAATGTATTAACATTCTCTGTTTCTTTGGGGTTTTTTGGTGTATGAGAGGAGGGGAGAGAAGGAGGAAGGATGTTGGGGGTTGAATATCTTTCCAAATGATTTCCAGACTCTATCAGATAGATAGCCGATCTATCTATCGGACAAAAAGCAACGGGAAAAGTAAGTGGTAGTCACTAGGAAACTTTGACTTATGTTGTAAGTCAGTTGTCAAGAAGCCAGAAGGAATAAGTTGTACCTTGAAATGAAAGTTCCTTCTACTATTAGGGCAGATATGGCCCAAAGAAATGCCAGTGGGATCTCAATAGCTTTTAGGCTAGAATTTAGTTGTGGACTTGGATACCTAAAATTGCATGTTTTACATGTGAACAGTATGTAATCTATGATTCTGCTCTTTAGCAGAGTAAATGTAGGTCAGGATATGAACAGCCCTCTAGCTTCTCGCTTAGTCAGCTGACACCCGGCAACAAGAATGCTCTCGTTCTCACTAAGCATGTAGCACATCAGCAAACTTGGGTGTCCAAATCTGGACCTAAATTGGAGGAAAAACTTCGGTCATCCTGCATTAGTAGTGCATAGACTCGAAATCTGCAAACAGTCAGTGTTAGTCAGTAGGCATGCAGCAGCCTGGTTATATGTTTGAATCTGCAGAAGTTGAGTATCATGGAAAGATGGGGTGGAAATGCTGTATTTAAAAAAACAAAACTAAACAAACCTCCACCCCATCCATCCCTCTTCACTGACAGGGAAGTCTTAATTTGAAGAAAAATAATCCACTTTCTTTACTGTGCAGGGTTTCAGGATGTTATCTAGAATATGTGGTTACAGAAGTGAATTGCAGACTGTCAAATCTGAAAGTGTTTACCTTCAGTGGTAAGTTTTTTCCTGAGGAAATAGTTGTGTAGATGAGATGGGCTTTTTTCTGGTAAAGCCAGCCTTCTCTGAAGTACATTGTATGCCCTTGAACGGTAGTAGATGTTTTTACCTCTTGTGTGATTTCACAGAAGAGATTGTTTGTTTGGGTCAGGTGTTGACCTCAAGGGAGTAGATCAGATTTTAAAATATTCCACACTTTTGAGTTGGAGAAACCAGATCAGGGTGTGGAAATGAAGGAGAGTAACTTTACTTGGACTACTCAAGGACAGACATGTAGGAGCAAGATGGTTTGTAATTTGCTGTATGATGCTTGCATTAAGACTCCGTGTCACCAGTGTTGCTTTCAGTGCCTACCAGAACTGCAAGGCAACTGATGTAATAGGCAGTCTGAAAAATGCTGTTTTCTCCTAGCACGTTCCGGAAGTCTGTTGAATCCCAGTGGAGACTCTGAAAAGCTTTTTTCTTCCCATCCCTCCTCGCACTCTCTCTTGGAGTCATGCTCCTTGAAAGGGATCTCTGCAGTTCAGGACATGTAGTCATTTTTGAGGGAGAGAAAGAGTAAGAAAAAAGAAAAAAATGGAGGGGAGGATGAGTAAACTTTCCCAGCTTGTTGTGGGAAACAGCGGTTGTGTGTAGAGCTTAAAAGAATCATTGAAACTATTCTTGACATGTAATAGTAAAACTATCCTTTAGTGTATACTTGTGGAAAGAGAAGAAAACTTCAAACCTTTAAAGTCTTTGTACACAGTTTTATAGTATGTGGGAAAAGTTTCATGAGCACCCTAAACCTCTTTAAAGTTACATGATTGCTATGCAGAGCTGTTTCTCTATTTGGATGTTTCTACCCACTGTGGCATATTGGTTCTGTCTGTCTTGTGAGGTGGTGTCAGTATGAGAGGAGGCAGTGGGAATGCCTGACTGGAAAGCATGGGAGCACTCCTTTCAAGAGCAGAGCCTCTTTGACACCCAGCCTTCATGCCTTATTTTTAGATTGCTTCGTTTTTTTTTTTTTCCCCCCCTCCTCTGTACTTCCCTGTTGGCTGAAGGGTGTGATTCAGACTTATGTCTTGACATGCTAAGCAATACTATATTTTTAGAAACCCCTACTTTTGGCCAACAAATGCAGCAAGCTGATGAAGTTCCCAACTGATGGGCCAGTTTTGTTTTGTTTTGTTTTCCTGTCTAGCTATACAGAATCACAACTTCTTAATCTTTAGAAGCACTTTGGGTTTCCAACTCAGTTACCAGTTTGGAAATCTAGGACCTAGAAGGTAATAAAACCTTCAACAAGTGCCAGCAGAGTAGTTTAATTCTTGAGTTCAGAGTGCCCAGGCTGGAATGGGCTTAAGTCCATAGGTGACTTTAGAAAGTCATTTGCACACAGTATTTATTTCTTTGGTTGAGTGCTTTATATATGCTTTATATATTTTATATATAAAGCATATATGCTTTAATACCAAGTTCCTTCTGTTTTGGTTGGTAGTTTCTGAATAATAGTCAACAGGACAGATCTGTGGGCACATCAACATTCATGTCTAAGGCCTCAATCCATGACATCTCTGGAATATTTATTTTATCTTTAAGCATGTGATTTTTAGTGAAAATAAAAACACTGTATACTTTGGTTGATGGAAGGCCTTCAGAAAAGGTGACAAAAGCGATGCAAGTCCTGGCAGCCCTTTGTATATGCCTTGAAATACTGTCTGTGGCTTGTGTCCTAGAGAAAATGACAAGCATTTGAGTTCTGAATTCTGTACAAGGCACAAAAATAGACCAGAACTACCTAGTCTATTGGAAAGTGTGGGAAGGACCAAGTTGTCGTATTTTTTTTAAAAATTCTTCTTTTTTTTTTTTAAAACTGACTGTAATGTTCACAGTTTCAGACTGTTGCAATAAATACTGTAAACTGAGGTGTCCTAAATACGTAATTCTATCTCCCTTAGAAGCATAAACACTTGAAAGCTGGAAACGGAAGGTGCCGCTCCCAGCTCCACTAGATGTCAGCCAAGACCAAGTGACTGAGCACTGTACACTTGAAAATCCTTGTTTTCGAATCTAGAGAAGCACTTGGCTGTTGCAAAATATACTGGGCAGTAGTTTTCCATTGTTGGTTGGTATGTGTAATAATGCTATTTTGGATGTAGGTGGAGGAGACCATCTTATGGCACTGTAAGTTAATCTGATTTGAGTAAGTTACTAGGCAAGTTTGGGTTGGGTATTTGAAGCTCTCTGAACCAGATCAGAGTAACATTAGATTGTTTCCAAATACATTCCTCTGTAGTACTGTGATCATTTGTAGCTTCCTGAGTGAAGAATAAGAGATATTTAAATATTTCATTGCTTTTTTTCCACCTATCTAATATCATAGTTAGAGAATTACTTACAGTAACAAAGCCATTCCTGTATACTGGCCTTTGTTTTCTGTAAAGGAATTAGGTGCAGGTTTGGGGCGGGGGGGTGGTGGTGAATGAAAGCTGCTGTTAACAGATGGCTAACTCTTGTTGCTGCAACATAAATTGCAGCTAATTTAGTGTTTTAATCCAAATGTAGTAAAGCTCAAAGACAGCAAAGGATGCTGTGCTGAGAACATGTTCACCGGTAGCAGTGTGCATGTCCAGCAGAACTGAACAGAGCATAGCTTCTGACTTGGTGCTTTGAGGCCATTGATGAAGCATGTAGAGGACTGTTTGGTTTGCTTAGACCTGAAGGGTCAGCTGAAGGGTTTTTTTTTAATACTTTGCTCCTTTCTTGGAAATCTAGCACACTTAGTGCAAGCATTTAGTTCTGACTTGTCACCCTGCAAGCTTCCTGCTCCACAGGAAAAGCACAAATAATTGACATGCGATTTGTTATTGATAGTGATGTGGCAGTCCTCTGAATACAGAGCAAAAAGAAAAAAAAAGGGAAGTAAACCAAAATGAGAGTATCAAACAGCATCACATTTCCTGCTTTTTTCTGTAAATGAACAGGCTTCTTTTTGCTTTAGGTAACATTACTGATTAAAACATCATAGCAATACACTACTTATTAAGAGCTTATGAGTGTATATTTTCATCATACTGTAACACACAAATGCTTAATGGCTTTAGTTTGAATAATAGCTTGAAAAGTTTCCCTTTCTTTAACTGGACAGCTTGTACCACCTAAAATTATCTAGGATGTTTCACTCAAGTGCTCTTTATTACTATTGGAGTTGTCTGTATGACTGTAACATTGCTTTTCATATTCTACTGACTTTTTGCTCCAAAAAATTGCAAGAAACATACCCTGTATTTAAAGAGTGCAGTATTATCGTGAGATAAGCTTAAAAGGAAGCATAAAGCTTGTCCATAGCAAAACCTCTTAATTTCTAAAAGATGAAAATGCTGAGAAATTGAGGGAGAAGCAAGTCAGCTGGAACGGAAGAGTTCAGAACTTCAGAGAGTTTTGTAGTCTTGGAACTTTTAAAATTACAGGTGCAAAAATTTACCTCTACTACAAGCTGCAGATTTGGGGGAGAAAGTGGACGCACAGCGTCAGGGGTTTATAGGCAGAGTTTCTGTTCTAACCAGAAGAAAAGCTTTTTGAGACCTGTATTAGAAATCAGCCTACAAAGATGAAAACTCTTTGATCTCATTCCTCTCCTCTTGCTGAAAGACAGTTTAGCGAATGAAGGAGAATTTTCAGGTCTAAGTACAACTTGATTTTTGCCAGAATAAAATGAAACAACTGCATAAGGTTCAAAAAGACTGAAAATGAAAAGTCTAAGACAGAGGTGGGACCTGTGCTTGCTTTTGATGTTGTGTTTAGGCTTTTGCTTTTCATATACTTTAGTGTTAGAACCAGGGGAAATTTTGTTAAAGGAGTTCTGAGGGCTGTGTTGAATTACATTAGAGACTTAAGCACAAAATATGGGTGTTTGAAGAACTTAGTGATGAGAAAAAGGGAAGAGGCCACTTCGAGATAAAGGAGGAAAGAAAAAGTATTGGGTGACTTTGAGGATTCAGTAAGTTTAGTCAACACTCTGTGTATAGAATGCAAGGTAGCGCAAGTTTTGATTAAAAAACAAAATAACAACAACACAAAACAACAACAACAAAAAAATAAAGTCCTGCTGATCTGTCCCTTTTAAAACTTTGGAAGTCATCCTGATTAGTGGCAAGTGTGAAACCAGTGCCTTATTTAAACCTTACTAATCTTACAAATGACTTCCTGGCTTTGCAAGGGAATGACTGAAATTCTTCCTGGTCCTTATTTGTCTTCCTGTGTGGTAGCAGAGTTGCCTGTGACTTTTTTTTTTTTTAATTTTCTTTGAAAATACAAAGCTGCCTAAACAAATGAAAGCAAGTACAATATAACCTGTTCTACTTGCTCAGAGGGGTTTGAGAAATTAGAGTCTTTGTAGACAAAACTTGAGACTTGTTTAAAACTTCATATGAAGCAAAGTTCATAAATTCCCAGCCAATCCTCGTTGAGTCTTTCCCCCATCTGTAGCATCTTGACTTGCTGCTGTAGCCACTCTTTCTGGGAAAAAATGTAAGAAACACAGCTGTACATGTGACATGTTGCAGTTTGTTTCTGTCATGAATTTATAAATATGTGTTGTGCTTAAAATGAGATATGTGATTATGCCATGTGGATATACTTTTAACTGATGCTGAAGAATCCAGTGTTTAATAACTGTCTAGAGAGAGATGAATTAACTAGGCTACAGTTGAGAGGTCCATGTCTTCCAGTGACAGACAGTGTCTGTTGTGTGTGATGTGTCCAATGGTAAATGATCAAGCATGGTGGGGGGAGGAATTAGATTTCTCGGACTTCTAGCAACTTGTATTGAAGCTAAAAATGCCTGTCTTTTTCGGAAGTTTGGAGTTGGAAACATTTCCAGTGGAATTTTAAATCTAATTTTGCTTTATTTGCAGCTTTAGTCAGTTCTCCATGATGTGATTATTAATGGGACAGAAAGAGATCCTTGAACAAGCATTTCAGTCTCTCTCCTTGTTAATGTTTGCAGCTCAAATCCAATCCTAGCAATAATGAGGAAAAAGAAGCCCAGACTCAGCTGACAAAATCTGATGAGCTACAGCGCCTGCATTCACAAGCATTATCTGCCTACCAGCAAGAGGATTATGAAGCTGCTATTTCTCTTCTTGATGAAATCTTGGCAGTAAGTGTTAAGTAAAATGGTGCTGTGAAAAGGAAGTAAGAGCTCCTATCTGACATCTGTGTATTTTTGTTTAATAACTTCTTCACTGATGTGAAAATACCATTGGTGTAATTGGGTCAGTTTTTGCTGAGCACCATGAGTCCATAATGGAGAATGGAGAATGCTGAACACTAACTGCAAAAAAGTCAAAATAATAGGTTGTAGTTAGGGTTAAAGATACAACTTCAGAGAGACTTCTGTTATGGATAACTTTCTTGATTATACTTCCCCATTTTTCTACAGTTCAATGTTCTTGGGGAATTTGGGGAAAAAAGTTGTTCTCAAACCAGTGAAGTTTTTCCAGGTATAGGAGGCATAGGATTTTTTATCTAGGTTTTTTGTTCCCTATATGCAGGTCATACTTGTCTTGAGGAACGTGAAGCAACAAAAGATAAAAAAACTCAGAGTTAATGTACATAGCTATCTCAATTTTCAGCTTGTTCCTTAGATACCAGTATTTATTGAATCTTAATTGGCATAGGTAGTCTGATAGTTTAAGTGTAAATAACTCAATCATGTGGGCATTTTGTGTGTTACCTAGAAATACATAATAAAAGACAGTTAACAGTTACGTTTCTTCACACTGTTGACTTGGAATTTACAACATTCTAGCTTTTGGTGAAGAAACTGCCAAAGTGTGAGAGTTTGCTTATGGGGAGGGAATGTGGAAAAGCAGAAAAGCTCATTCTCTAAAATGAGCCATATTTGTTTACAAACAAATGATAATACCCAGAAAAAATTCTCTAAAATGAACTATGATGGGCAGTTCCTTTTAATTAATTATTCTTGCCATACTGTGATGTTGTTACTTCTGTATATATCTTTAAAATTGAGATACTAAGGTCAAATCTTGCGTAGCTGAATCTTAGCCACAGGCTACTTTCTAGAGGACAGCTGCCAGCTTGGTCCTTGCTGTTCATTACCCCTATTCTTTTGGGAAGATATAATAATTTATGATTCTGATATCCTTCCCTGGAGGCTCAACAGACTGTCCCAGTTTAAGCAGTGCCAGTAGATTTAATTCATCTCCCTGCATGAGCTCATTGAATCACTTACAAATTTTTTCAGGCCTTTGTTTTCTATTTGGGCAGGTGCATCACAGCATCCACCAGGAAGCAGAGATGCTAATTTCATATACTCTGCGTGCAGCTTGAACCTTATGCTATTGCAGTTGGCAAAGTGAAATTAAGTGGTATTTTTTCTTTTGTTGGGGAGAAAAAGAAGTGAAGTGTTACACACCAAAAACAAGCTTTTAATTTTGGTTTCTCAAGGTTTGTGTTTGGGATGCAGAGCTACGGGAACTTCGAGCTGAGTGTTACATAAAGGAAGGGGAACCAAGCAAAGCCATTAGTGACTTGAAAGCTGCTGCCAAATTAAAGAATGATAACACTGAAGCCTTCTATAAAATGAGCAGAATATATTATCAGCTCGGGGACCATGAATTATCACTCAGGTAATTTTTACTGTTTGCTGTAATTATTATAATTATATTATAATATCTGTCTGAGACAGAAAATGTGATAATATAGGTCATGATAAACAGTGAAATATCTATGTTGTCTGTTTTTTGGATGGAGTAGCCACTCTCGTCTGGATCTGATGAAGCTAAGAACTGGCAGTGAAGACACCATGATTATTCTTGGCAGACCAGCCATTGATGCTTTCTAGCACCTTGCTTACTTAAATAGAAGCCATAGTGCTGGTCCATCAGAGTTGCTTATATTTACTGGTCTTATGTTTCTCCATCCTAGAAGAAAGTGCTTCTCCTAAACTAGCTTTGCTGGAACCTTTTTTTAACCTTGAGCCTCCATTCAAGTTAAGTTTACAAGGCAAACAAAAAGAAAATCTATGAATTAAGTCTTAGGGCTGGATTTTGTGTTTTTTTTTTCCAAGAGTGCAAACAAAAAGGTTACAAGCTTAAGAATAAATAAAAAGTACAGGAGCATCCAAGTGTGAGGAGCTGGAGATCCAGACCTGTCATTCTTGCAGTGTCCAGTATTTTGGATGATTTTTTTTTTTGTAATGCCCTACCCTTTTATTCATATTCAGTTAACTTGAGGGTGTTATTCCCATACGTTCCTAGTCAGTGCTGCAGATAACTGCCCTTGCCCCATGTGCACTGTTAACTTCATACTCTTGTGCTCAGCTGGACAGATGATACAAGCTGTCTTTTTGCACACAAGTGGTTTCAGTGCAGCTTATCTCAGATCTGCTACCTGCATTTTCAGGCTCCTTCCGATATGCCTTCTGCCACAGAATCTCTTAAGAAAGAGGTGAAGAGAACTGAAAAAGCCTGAGTTTTATTTTTTTTCTTGGCAGGGTATGACAAAGGCTGGTGGATGGAAACTGCATGTAATTATAATTGCAAAAACTAATTTTATAGCTGGGCAAAAGTAAATGCCAAGTAGCTAATTGGTTTGCATTAGGGACCTCCTTTTTAGAGTATACTTAATCTCTGGAGCTTATAGGTGACTTTTGTGGTGTCTTTTGGTAGCCCACACTTAGCCTAGTGATTTCAAGAATAGGTGGGGGGTTCTTTTTGGTTCCCATCCCTGTCCCCCCGTGTCCCCCCCTGAAATCCACACACGGCCTTGCTCTATTAATAAACAAATTTTAACGTTTTTGTAAGTACAATTGAGAGAGATGTTGAAGAACCAAATGGTGTCAGAATGAAGGGTTAAGCCTCTCCTTTATTTTTCTATGATTCTAATTCCCTCCCCACCATCATAAGGTATACTAAGAAAGAGTTCTATAGCTCTTGGACTTGCTGAGTGATTAATCTTGTCCTTCCCATAGTTTTCTTCCTCTTCCCTTTACAGGCTTACTGATTTTCAAATTAATAGATATTTTTGTCTGTGCTTAGGAACAAAATAAGATTTTTGCGATCTCTTTCTGAAAGTAACACCTTGGTTGTCCTGTGATGACTCTGTATGATACAGAACTTTTATTCCTTAATATGATTGCATTTTGGAGTTTTTTTAAAGACTTTTGACGATTTTAAGAGGTGTCTGATGAAACAGTCTTCACAGTGAAAAGTCAGGCTCAGGCTTGGCTGATAGTCCATCAAGAGGAGGTTTGGGTCTTAGCTGAGCTTTGTCTGTTTCAGGCAGCATAAAATATATTTCTGCATAGGTATTTGGTAATGTAGCTGAGTTAAAATATACAGGAAAAAATACAAACAAATGTATCTCATAATGCCGAATATAATTTCTTTCCCAGGGTATATTTTTCTTCTGCTGCTTAGTCAGTTATTAATGTAGCACTTCTCAATCTTTGCATATTTGGTAATACAAAATATAAAAACAAAACCAGACAAATATCCCTGTATATTCTGGAAGACCTGTTTTTTGGTCTCGCTTTAAAGTAATTTTTTGGATGAAGGGAGAGATTGTGTAAAGTCAACTGTTCTGGACAGCTTATAGATGCTGCATTCTCTAGGTGAAATTTCATCATGTGTGGTAATGTCTTCCTGTTTTGTTTTGTTGTTTTTGGTTTTTTTTGTGTGGTTTGGTTTGGGTTTTGTTTTTTCGTTTCCCCCCCGCCCTGTGAAAAGTGAAGTCCGGGAGTGTCTGAAGCTTGACCAAGACCATAAGCAATGCTTCTCTCTGTATAAGCAAGTAAAGAAACTCAATAAGCAGATAGAGTCAGCAGAGGAATTCATCAGAGAAGGCAGGTAAGTGTTCCCTGCTGTATTAAAAAAAAAAAAAAAAAAAAAAAAATCATTACTGAGGCGCCGACTAACTGATTGAGGAGTTGTGATGCTTTTTGCATCTGTCAGTTGAAGTGGATAACTAAACACAGCTCTCAAATTACAATTAAAGTAAATATTGACTTGCATAGTGATGATCCTGTTCTGATTCTTTCTTATGCCACTGTCTTCTCTTTGCATGCTAAACTTCTATGTGGAGCAGGTAGTAGCAACAAGATAGGGATAATATGTCAGCTCTCATCACTCAGCACTGGTGAAGCCACAGCTGGAGTGCTGGGCCCCATAGCACAAGGGAGATGAAGCTATTGAGAGAGAAAGTCCAGCGAAGTGCCATTAAGATGATGGACGCACTGGAGCATCTCCCTTCTGTGAGGAAGGGCTGAGATAGCTGGGGCTGTTCCCACTGAGCCTTCTCTGCTACAGGGTCATCTCATCAATGTATATAAATACCTGAGGGGAGGATGCAAAGAGGGTGGAGCCAGGCTCCTTTCAGTGGTGCCCAGTGGCAGGACCAGAGGTGATGGGCACAAACGGAAACAGGAAATTCCATTTGAACATGAGGAAATAATTCCCACCACTCCCTTGTTTCCACTGGTGCAGATTGCCCAGAGAGGTTGTGGAGTCTCCCCACTGTGGAGATACTAAAAATCTATCTGGACACAGTCCTGGGCATCTTGCTGTAGATAGCCCTGCTTCAGCAGGGGGGTTGAACCAGATGACCTCCAGAAGTCTTCCAACTTCAACTATTCTGTGATTAAAGGCCCACATCTTTAGACTAAAACTACCTAGTAATTCTGCAGTGCCTTGATAGCAAAAGTGGATCTGACTGATGAGCTTCTTTTATGCACCCTATTAAGTGATAGACAATGCCTCTGTATTCTACTTCTTGCTTTATTTCAGTTTTACATGTTTCCAAGCACATGACATTCAACTGTAAGGAACCCTAACAAGTGATTAAACATCTGTCAAGGTGGCTTTTTAAAATGAAGTACATCAGGAATGTGAATCAGCACAACTGAAGATAGTTTTATTAAGTTAGCAGTCTGTTTGGACTGTTTTCATTATAGTTGTTGTCTTAATCCAGTACCAGCACATTTTCAACAAATATTCTGAGAGCTTGAATTTCTTCTACCTTGTACCAACCTATGGGTTCAATCACACACTTGTATTTTTGGGTGAATGTTCTAATCCATTTCTTACTCAAACCATGGAACTTTTAACATCTTTGAAACCTTCACAGCAAAAATACATTTTACTATGTGACTTGTGGAGAAGGCAGGCAGAGAACAACTGCCCAATTCAAGCTGGCATAAAGAACGTTCTTTTTTTTTTTTGTACCAAGAAATGCAAATGGTGCAGTGCTCACAGCAGTACTCCATACTTAGTCCATCTCAGACATCAGAGAGGGAAATGCTTTTTTCCAAGTGTAGAGTGGTGTGTGGGACAGGAGGCAAATCTAGAGACTGTGCACACTGAGGATTGGTAGTTGTTATCTTCTGCAAATGCCTGTCAGGAATAGTGCCTGCTCTTCTGTCTCATAGCACAGAAGATGGAATGGGGATGTAATTCTTGAAGTGGATGACAGTTTTCTTCATACTGTTGTCTCACACCACACCTTTATTACAGTTAAGGTACATTGCTAGAAAGATGTGAAAATCTGTGAATATTAAAATTTGTAAATAAATCACAACACCCTGAAATAGTTACTATATTTCATGATATTATGCTTATCTTTATGATTTAAACAGGTATGAAGATGCTATCAATAAATACGATTCTGTAATGAAAACTGAGCCAGAAGTCCCAGTTTATGCTACTCGTGCCAAAGAAAGGATCTGCCACTGTTTATCAAAGGTAATTCTGCTTCTATATCCCTCTGTAAATTTCTTTAAAACAAAAAAAAAATACCCCCAAAAAACCCACAACTACATGAATTTTGTTTTACTTTCTCCTCTCTAGAATCAGCAGGCTACAGAAGCTATACAAGTTTGTACAGAAGTTCTGCAACTGGAACCAACCAATGTGAATGCCCTGAAAGACAGAGCAGAAGCTTATTTGCTGGAAGACCTGTATGAAGAAGGTACAGTTGCATGCAGTTTGCACATACTTTTTTGTGGGTGTTTAAAATGCAGCCAGTGTTTCAAAAATTTAACATGCACTTTGATTCTACACTATGGTGTTAGCCCTAATCAGCACTGGTAGTTGCAGATTTACAAAAATATCTGCTGGTAATTTTGTCTTGATTAGTATAAGTGGAATGTACTCGTTTTATCTACAGCAGAGTTGTCTTTACAACAGTGGGCTATGTTCAGGATGTTTTACGAGGCTATACAGCTTACTCATACACATTTTATATAATCAACAGTGTCAGACAATTGCATTTAGAGATAAGAGGTAATTATAGTTATGGTGATGTAAATCAATTTTAGGAACTCCGTTTTAATGTCTTTAGATGGCAGTGTGAAACAATACTGTTCTAACCCTAGCATATGTTGAGGGCAGAGGAAGATAACAGCCATTGCTTCACCTCTGTGGGTCTCTGTAGTGCTGCTAAGAGCAATAAACTGATTCTGTTCCTGAGGCTGCATTTTCCATATGGGGTTTCCATAAAATGCATACTGTTACACAGTCCCATCTACAGCCTTGGAAAATAAGGACTGAGTAATGGGTGTCTCAGAGTAAACCACTATGTTGTTACCGAGCTTCTTTAAGAGTACTAAGTGCTACTGTGCTATAAAAAAAGAACCCTTCGAAATTTAATTTAGTGAATCTCATTTCCTCAAGAAGCCAGGCTTAAGAAGGAAATGTGGACAATCTGTCTGTTCCACCCCCGTGCTCAGTCATGCAGCAGTTCTTGAAGCATTGGGCTGTTTCAGTCAAATGTGATGAGGGAAAAGACTTGTAGGCTTTACATCTGCAGAAAACTAGTTCCATTAATTTTAGTACTTGTAGAACAATTTTCCTTTTCTGTATTCTGGTACTGGATCTTTCACTTTACAACTGAACAAAACCAATCTTTTTGATTTAAACATTCATGAGGCAGCTGTTCTCATTAATAGCATGCTCAGGTTTTTTGTCTTTTTGAGAAATTAATCACAGAGGGATGATGTTGCTCATCTCTTGAAGCTCACTTCAAAAATGAGATACCTATTTTGTTCTTTTTTTAGGCCTCCTTGACTTAAATGAAAACATGCTATAAAGAGGACTGGTGTCATTTCAGGCAGTCTTCTTCATCAGACTTTATATCTCTGAACTGACCTAGTCCCAGTCCCTCTTTGCTGAGGCTGGCAAGCCTTCCTCCTGCTTATAAGAGAAAGGGTGGAAGACAACAGAACTTTGGAGAACTCGTGACCTTTGTACAAAGGGATTGCTTAAAAAAAAAAAGGCCACAAAATGTAAGGAAAAATTGTCTTTTTGCTTTTCTTAGGGTAATATTTTTCCATCTTTTGATTGTTTAGAACTGTGATGTCAACCTAAAGGTGAGGCTTAGGAAGATTTCAGTCATGAGGCCCCCTTTGGGCATTTCCCAGTCTTTTTCTGTACTTCAATACGGTGGAAGTAAGCTCAGTCAGTGTTGGGAAAAGTAGATTTACAAATGAATAAAAAAAACCCCAAACCACTTCCCTAAAAATAGTTAAAGGTACAGAATATAAGTTTACATAGATTACGGCTTGTACAAAGGTTTTTGATTTAAGAGGAAGGAGTATCAGCAAAAGGAGAACCCAAAGAAAATTTAAGATTATTTTTTCCCCCTCAAGGTGTATGAATCTTCAGCTTAGAGGAGGGTACAGAGAGGAGCAGGCCAAACAGGCCCTGCTGTGAGTCTTCTCAGGTGTACCTTTTGCTTCTTACTAGTGGGCAGAATTGATCTCTTTGTTTTCTTGAAATTGATGAATCTCTTTCTAACATTATCTTCTAGTAAATCCTCATCTATTTCTGGTTCCTCTAGGGTGAGAGAATCTGGCAACTCTTGGAAATTAGAGGCGGCGGGGAGAGGGGAAAGAAGTTTGTAACAAGGTCCTGCACAAACACACAGTGCCGACTTGTTCTTGTGCTGGAACAAATGTCTCCCTATTTATAGGATATAAGGAAACACAGAGAGGATGCACCTGGGATCTGGGAGACCTTATTTCCGGGGCTGGAGCCCGCTGGGCTTGGCCTAGCATGGTTCTGAGGGGACAACCATGCTAGAGTGGAACCGTGCTCCTCCAAATCCCTTTTGTTTAGCATATGCCCTGCCTTCTTCCTGCCCTTCCTCCTGCCCTTGACAGTAGTGAGATGGTTATAGTTATACTCTGCCTGCCAGCAGAGCCTCCATAACAGTATGATAGTCCATTAATGTTAGTCTGCCTGAAGGTGTCTTCACTTATCCTTCAGTTTTAACTGCTATAAAATGATGGCTGATTTCTCTCTGCTGTAGAAAGCAGTAGAGCAATTAAAACCATAGTCTTATATTTAAAGGGGCAAACTGATTCTCATTCTTCCCTCAAGAAACTTTCATGCTGGAGGCCCCTATTTTTCTGTCTAAAGACAGGAAATTTCGAAGTACTTGAATTCAGAGCTTTTAAGGCGATTATTGTTAAATGTTCAAGATACACTTCAGTATGTATAGCTGAGTTCTGATTCCCATCAAATGGTTTTAATTACTTTATAATCACATGAGATCCAGGGCTTGTCTACAGAGACAGATGTGTAATGACTCCCTTTCTGGCTTACCTCATAAGTACAGGAGTCTGTCTAAGGTATACAGCACAGGTTTTGTCAAAGAAAACAACCCATGTTTCTGTTCCGAAATTGATCAGGTCATCATTCCCCCCCGCCCCACTACTGTAGAGGAAACAGTCCCTGTTTCAATAAGAGCATAACTGTCAGAGGAACAACTGAACCAGTTAGCATGGACGTGAGTTGTCTGCAGTTACTCGTGTTTGATAGGAAATTAATTCTGTATACGGAATAATGGTCAATCTTGGTCACTCTGTTTTAAAGATGCAAGCAAAATAGGAAAGCCAGCTGAGGCATTTAGAGATACATTGCGATTACTATTTGAGAGATTGTGAAACCTCTTATATTGAAAGAAGGAGAGTTAGATTTGCCTAAAGTATTTAAATTGAAAGTGATACTGGAAACTGGCTGCTCCTTTTATGTTGAGGGACAGGATGAAAGCAAGAAGTGGTGCGCTCTGAAATAGCCAGCCAGTAAGAAGCAGCCACGATTATGGTGTTTGTTTGTGAGGTACTAGTGCTTTTAGAAATACTGACTGAGAAGAATTTATTAAATGTCTTACTCGACATACTGTGAATTAGTAATAAGTCTCCTGGTTTCATAGCAAACTTCTTGTGGTCAGGAAGCTGTCATCCTGCTTCCACCTATTTCCAACCCTCACCCCTCAGGTGGGGAGAGCAATTAGCTCTGAAAGAGGAAAATTCCTACAGTGGAGAGTTCTGTCAAAATGGTCCAGGAAGGCCGGACATTCTTCAAGAAGGAAATCTTAAAGGCATGGGAGCAGGTATTCCCCGTGTGCTGTAAGACAAGCTGGCGGGGAAGGCGACTGGCCTGGCTGAACAGGGAGCTTTTGCTGGGACTCAGGAAAAAAAAGAGAGTTTATGACGTTTGGAAGAAGGAGAAGGCAACTCAAGAAGAGTACAGGAATGTCATTAGGTCATGCAGAGAGAAAATTAGAGAGGCAAAAGCCCAGCTAGAGCTCAATCTGGCCACGGTTGTAAAGGATAACAAAAAATGTTTGTACAAATATGTTAACCACAAAAAGAGAGCCAAGGAGAATCTCCATCCCTTATTGGATGCGGGAGGGAACATTGTCACCAAGGATGAAGAAAAGGCTGAGGTACTTAATGCCTTCTTTGCCTCAGTCTTTAATAGCCAGACCAAGTACTCTCAGGATATTGAGCCCCCTGAGCTGGAAGATGGGGATGGAGAGCAGAATAAAGTCCCCATAATCCAGGAGGAAGCAGTCAATGACCTGCTGCATTACCTGGACACTCACAGGTCTATGGGGCCTGATGGGATCTACCCAAGAGCACCGAGGGAGCTGGCAGAGGAGCTTGCCAAGCCACTCTCCATCATTTGTCAGCCGTCCTGGTTAACAGGGGAGGTCCCAGACAACTAGAGGCTTACCAGTGTGACACCCATCTACAAGAAGGGATGGAAGTGGGATCCTGGGAACTACAGGCCTATCAGCCTCACCTTGGTACTGGGGATGATTATGGAGTGGTTCATCTTGAGAGTGCTCACAGGGCATGTGCAGGACAGCCAAGGGATCAGGCCCAGCCAGCATGGGTTCATGAAGGGCAGGTCCTGCTTGACCAACCTGATCTCCTTCTATGACCAGGTGACCCACTTAGTGGGTGGGGGAAAGGCTGTGGTTGCTGTCTACCTGGACTTTAGTAAAGCCTTTGACAGCGCCTCCCACAGCATTCTCCTGGAGAAACTGGCAGCTCGTGACTTACATGGGTGTACTCTTCACTGGGTGAGGAACTGGCT